ATTACGTTTCCGATTTTTGGCAATTGACGAGATTCAGCTTTTATAAAGTTCATGATTCTGTCGGTAATATAATTACACTAAATAAAACAAGAAGAAACAAAAACACGTGCGAAAATAGTAGAACGATAAAACCCCAATACTTTCGTCATCATGTAGTGTCTCTCCACTACTGGTGGCAGTTTGGAGAACTCTTCCCAGTCCTGAGCCAAGCGAAACAGATGTTCTACGCTGGCAATATTCGATCATTCCCGGATGTTGCGCAACCACGACTTCTTCCAGTACGTCGTTTACCCTCGATCTTGCCCATCATTACCAGCTTGAGAAGACTTTTCATGCCATAGAACGTGTCCAAGATACGGAACTTTCCTTTTCTTGACGGCAAGAGTTCTCGGTCCCTCGAGGTGCCAACAAGCTGAAGAACTGTCACATTGGGAACTTTCTGGGTCCAGCTAATGCGTAGCATTCTATATACTTTAAAGAAAGAAGGCTTTCGACACGGTCTCTGTCCCTCTTTTGATTGATAAATTAGAACAAATTGGTGTCAGAGGCATGCAGCTTGATCTTTTCGGTAACTTTTTAAGCAATAGAACACAATGTGTAAAAATCGGTGACATTATCAGTGACGATCTACCTGTCTCTCACGGTGTCCCACAGGGTAGTATTCTGGGACCTACCCTTTTCCTAGTTTATGTTAATGAACTATGTAAATTGGAATTACCCAATGGGCGAATAACTTCTTTCGCGGATGATACCGCTCTAACATTTAGCGCCAAAAGTTGGGAAGAAGTATTCCATCATGCCCAACATGGTTTTGATATTGTCACCAGGTGGTTACGTGAAAATATTCTAACTTTAAATACAGACAAAACAAAGTACATAACATTCACGAAGCGGGGTTGTGTGGCTAATTTACCTTTTTCTATTGTTGCACATAAATGTCCTCTCCCGCACGAGGTCCATTGTAACTGCCCCCGATTGGACAGAGTTAGGTCCATTAAATACCTTGGAATACTAATAGATGACAATCTCAGTTTTAGTAATCATGTTGATATGCTGGTATCTAGGGTACGTAAAATGATATATATTTTTAAAAATTTGCGTAATGTTGCTGACCATGGTATAATCAAAATGGTATACATAGCGTTGTGTCAATCTGTACTTTGCTACTGTATAACTACACACATCAAAAGTGTCTAGGGATCAAGTGAATATTTTTGAAATAAAAATTATTTAAGCAATATTTACCAAATCCAGTCTTCCAGGACGACTTCTTACTTTAATGCTTATGTTTTATTTAACCGCTTACCCCTATATTTAATTAAAATAAACTAAAATTGATGTTTTTGCAAATTGTGGGAAAAAACTCAAATTAACGGCGTCAATTAAATGACAAAAAAATGGCGAAAATGATGATTTTGCTCATTTTTATTGTAATGATAACATAATTAATAATCTGTATTTCCACCATTAACACGAATCACACAATTACAGCGATTTGGCATGCTTAAGATGAGTTCATCAAAATCACTTGGAGGAATGGCCGCCCATGTGTTTTGTAACAAGTCAAAATATTGTTGTAGAGTATGTACGGTATGCATACTCGGCACAGCTCTTCTTTGAAGCATATCCCATGCGTGCTCAATTGGATTGAGGTCTGGCGATTGAGCAGGCCACGGCAGAACGTTGATACGAGCTTCGGCAAGAATGCGTGTTACGACTCTAGCCGTGTGTGGACGTGCGTTGTCATGCATAAGTTGAAATGAATCACCCAACTGGCCTCGCAAAGGGATGATAACATCTGAAACAATCCTCTCTGCGTAAACTTGAGCATTGAGGTTACCCCTGATCCAAATGAGATCGGTTCTTCCGCCGATCCAAATACCGGCCCATATCATTATTGTTCCCCCACCATATGGATGAACTTCCTGACAATATCTCAAACGTTCATGACGTCCAGATGTTCTCCAAACTCGAGTACGTCTTGTATCCGGTCTCATACCGAAGCGGGATTCATCCGAAAAGCATACATAGCGCCAGTCTTCTTCCTCCCAGTTTCTGTGTTCGCGAGCCCATCGTAAACGGGTCCTGCGATTGCAGGGTGCAATAGGTGGAACTCTGAGCAGCCTTCGGGATCGCAGACCCACTTCACGTAAACGATTTCGGATTGTTTGATCGCTTATTAGCAAGCCTGAGGAGCTGTGGAGCCTCGTAACCAACATCATGGCGGTCATGGTACGATTCCGTCGAGCAGTATTTTGGATATACCGATCCTGTCTGCGAGTCGTGATGCGAGATCGTCCTCCATGTCGCGCGGCCACGCTGCCCGTCATGCGATAGCGCGTCCAGAGGCGACTTATGACGCTCTGTGTAGTGTTAAGAGTTAAAGCCACAGTACGTTGCCTGGAACCAGCTTCCAACATTCCGACGGCTCGCATCATCACTTCTCGGGTTAAATGATGTCGTCTCTCCATAATAATGTAAATTGTTTCGGTTCCGATGCAGATATTGTAATGATTTTGTAACTATAACTCATTTTTATACAAAACCACATTGACAATCGATTTTCTTCTTATTATAGGATTTTAAACAATATTCCTTATTTAAATTTCCTTATTTAAACTCACTAAAAAGTATCAATAGCGATACAAAAAAGTTAATATAATTAACCCTAATTGCAGCAATACTCTTAAACGTACTTGATCCCTAGACACTGATGTGTGTACTTGGGGCGGTACTCACAAATCTATTCTATTAAAATTAGAAAGAGCCCAAAGGGGGGTACTCAAGACTTCCCTAAATCTTCCTTTTCGATTTTCCACAACAGAGCTGTACAAATTGTGTACAGTGCATACGGTACGAACTTTATATTTTGTGTGCTATCGCACAATTACATTCTCAGTTACCGTACGATCCCGCTATGTTAACGACTAAAAGACGTAAGGATATTGTTTGTCGTTCTTCGATGCACTCAGGGTTCTCTCATAGATCGTTTTCGTTTTTGGTTGGTTTCATATACATATAATAAAATAAATAAAATTTTAAATATATACCCTTTAAATAAAAATTATTGTAAACAAACTGTTTCGAAATGGCTACTTACTTTAAATTATGATCAGACGGAAAATCTATTGGTAATGAATATATAGCATTTAATTAAATTACGTTCTCGGATCTATTTGGAGATATTTTAACACGGTAAACACATATTCAAACTTTTCTCACGCACCTCTCTGTCGCATTTACAGCGCACATACTTACACACACATGCGCCCACACACACACACACACACACACACTCATGCACGCAAGCACGCACATACTTCCGTGTTTGACTCCATTTTTGTAAAATTTTTTTTGTTTAATTTTTATGTTATACTTGTATAATAGCTGCCTAAACTTATGAGTGTATTATGTACAATTTTACAGTCAAGTCCGTGGGGTGGAGGCCTGGTGATCCATAACACAGGTTTTTTACCTAGCTTGGACACCAGTCTCCCATTTTAGCATTGTTTAAGTTTATATCTGTACAAATTGCCATTTTAGTATTTGTAAGCTATTGGGAGAAAATAAATAAATTAAGAAATATATATATAATGCCCAATACTTTAAAGAAAAAAGTAACGAAATGCATATCTATAGGTTAGAATTTCGTTTTTGACATTTTGAGAGATGTCAATTTACTTTTTTAAATATTCCCTGCTGCAAAGGTTAACATTTATAGAGCCATTGATGGCGTCACCATATAAATAACTTGCAAAATTTTCAAAAAATCGTAACAAGGCAAATAAGCTACGAAATGATAAAATATTCAAGTTATTGTCTTAAAGTAGTCCACATTTTCGAAAAAAAATTTAATATGTATAGGTCAAAAATTGTGAACAAGCCCATTACACGTAACTAGAATTGTATTACGAGTTTCGATTTCGATAATTGCGCGGCCAAATCAGGTCCGCGTACATGTCGTGGCAACCAAATTAGCGTGATTTACGGGAATCTATTGTTACCAGACCGTAGACAACATAAATTAATGCTCGTTGTGCAAAAATCAAAGTCGTAGCTATTGAAATAAGAAAGTAATAACGTTAAATCCCTCTCCCGTAACATTTGGTTATAATAATAATAATAACGCAACACACTCATAGCCCCGCACTATGGAAACTGTGGCGCGGGTGCCATGGACACACACATAGACAACCACAAATTATTGTATGTATAGTTGTCTTATCTGATATTGCTTGATTTAACAAGGAAAGAAAACATCGTTATAAGTCCTTCATGAAGAAAGGGGACGTTCTTGAAAAATGCTCATGAAGAAACCAACTCCATTAGACCAGGAAAGTGTATTGAATAACAACGAAAGTTTCAACACTTGCGAATTTGAACTCAAATTGCATGCAAATTGTTAAAAGAATAATGCCCAAGTTCCATACAGTTCTGGACCAGTTAAAAGAAAGTTGACGGCCATCATTTACACGGTTTCATTTGTTTTTCCGTATAGTTTCTAATTATACTGGATTTATTTTTTTTAACTAAGGAAAGTTGACTTAAACAACATTTTCTGTTTGGGGCTACATTAATAAAGAAAATTATTATGTTATTTTGTAGTATCCGTATCCGATTTTGATGATTATTTTTTTGTTCGAAAGACGATACCTCACCAGTAATCTCATTTAAATTTGAATAAAATGCTCTAAGGGTGGCAAAATAGTGGAAGTCATTCGACTTTGAAGGTCGGTTTTTTAGTACTCTGTACTGAGATTATACATATAACGTATTATTTAGATGGATATAAATTTTCCACCGGTCTTCTCGCGACTAAAAAATTTGCTAAAAACCATAAAAACATCCAAAATGAGTATGGTTCTTTACAATTTGTTTTTGCTCGTTTTTACTGGTATCGTTTTTTTATTTATTGTAAATTCTATTTTCAAAATCTGTGTGTTCAATTTTGTACGCTATGAAGCGCTTATGTTTCTAATGTTAATTGTTTTACATTACAGAGAATCTGTCGAACGAGGAACGAACATGGGACGAGATTATGCAAATAAAATCAATGCCAGTGCCCATGGCCCAGAAGAGGGACCTTAAAGCATCTTTACAGGTAACTGAAATTAAAAAAGACTTCTCACAGATGGCGCTACGTCAAAAAAATAGTTAAAAACCAAAACAAAGGTCTGCAACAAGCACATGGAAAAATTCGTGAGGTCCGTTGGTTCGTTCTGTGGCTCAGTTGGCATAACGTCTGGCACGGTTTGCTAGGTTGGTTCGAATCCAGCCAGATCGAAGAGATTTTTTTCTAAGTGTTCAATTTTTGTTTAATAATTATTACATACTTACATTATAGATAATACCAATAAAATTTATTTACATACCTTCGTGGAAAATAAATTTGTGTGACTCCCTATACTTAATAATACATTTTTTTTAAATCAGAATGCAACAAAACTACGTCTCCAAGGCTTAGAACAACTACACTGGCGGCAAAGAAAAGTATGGCACCGCTTCCGTATCCGAGCAGCAGAAATTATGGGTAAATTAGAACTATGGCAATCACCTATGCGAGAAATCGAGGGGAAATTCGGCACAGGAGTCGTGTCATACTTCCTATTTTTAAGATGGCTTCTATTTTTAAACATAACGATCTCTATATTCGTCATTCTATTTTTAATCTTACCAAAGGTGTTGCTAGTCGAAAATAAACAAAACTGCCAAGATTTCCAGCCAAATTCGACACAGTGTTGCTCTCAGGCGTATTTACATAAAAATTTAACCGATTCAAATATAATATTGGATGTCATTCAAGGTACCGGCATGATGGAAAGAACTATACTTTTCTACGGAGTATATAGCGATCAGATATATACATATTATATTAAAGATTTTATCGAGTCGCAGATGTACTACAATATGCCCTTAGCGTACATATTGGTGCCTATATCATGGGCATTTCTAAGCCTCATAGCTATAGTAAAGACCGGAGCTAAAGGTTTTAAAGAGAGGTTAGTTGAGAGCGAAGGGCAGTTTTACACGTATTGTAATATCGTGTTTGGGGGATGGGATTTTTGTATTCATGACGACAAATCGGCTAGAATTAAACATAAAGCGTTATATAATGAAATCAAAGGTTCCTTAGAAGAAGAACGTTATAAGGAAGAAAAGCTGCGTAGTAGAGAAAGCCAAATTCTGTTGTATTTGAAGCGATTGTTTATAAATATAATAGTTTTTATTATTTTGTCAGCTTGCGGCGTGTTTATATACCATGTTTTGAACTTCTCGCATGACCAGTTAAGAGAGGTCAGTCCTACAGACGTGACAAGCCCTTTTGTAAATGTAACCAGACCGGAAAAATTCAGTTTTCATCTAAAAAATCCTTTTAATCAATTAAAAATTACGTTTTTCGAATTCTTACCTTTTTTATGTATCGTAATTTTGAATATAATTGTTCCGGAAGTGTTTAGCTATTTGATCAAAGTCGAAAATTACAATCCTGCGCATGTCATTATAATTGCTTTACTAAGAACGGTTTTGCTTCGACTCTCGTCTCTGGCAGTGTTGCTATGGCAAATATATATCTACGTAAACGATGAACATGGTTTAGAATGTGCGTTTAATAAAAATAATCCAAACTCAGTTGAATGTTGGGAGACATATGTCGGTCAGCAGTTTTACAAGTTGATTTTAACAGATTTTGCTGTACAATTCATCACCACGTTCTTTATAAACCTGCCGAGGGCTTTTGTCGCTCGACATTCAACAAGTCGCTGCCTAAAATTCATAGGCGAGCAAGACTTTTATCTACCAAAACACGTGTTAGATATAGTCTACACTCAAACAATAATATGGATGGGGTCTTTCTTCTGCCCTTTTCTACCTATAATCGGTACCATATTTTATTTCCTCATATTTTACATAAAAAAATTTACATGTCTCACCAATTGTACACCGTCACCAGTAGTGTATAAAGTTTCGAAATCCAAAAGTTTGTTCATGTCAGTTTTGTTACTTGGCTTTATTCTCTCAATTGCTCCTGTCGCGTATTCTATTGCAGATATTTTGCCGTCTATAAATTGTGGACCGTTCAGAGGCTTTAATAGAGTGTGGGATTTAGTAATTCTTACTTTCGACAAGTTTCCGTCTTTACTACGAGAAATTATATTCTTCATCGGTACCTCCACTTTTGCTGTACCAGCTTTTGCTGTTTTATTATTCTTCCTATACTACTATTGGGCCGTTGCAACAGCCAACAGGCATATGGTGACAGTGTTAAGGAATCAGTTAGTATTAGAAGGCCACGATAAACAGTTTTTGTTGAATAGATTAAGTGCGTTCATTAGGCAGCATCAGAAACGGTGTGAGAAAAGGAATAGGGCCAGTTTTGTGGATGATGACGCGTCTATTAGACATAGTTCCAGGTAAAAAGATTTTTCAGAATAGATTGTAGCTTTAAGTCAAATTAGCCCTGGTAAAATGGTCCCTTTTTGGGATTTTTCTTCCGTTAAGTTCTTGTTGACTTTTCGCCCTGAAGTGCCGAGAACAGTTTAGATAACTATTAGGCTCAATTTATGTTGCGGCGAAACTGAATGGAAGCGAATTTTTGTAACGATATTGTACATAGCGTAATGAACTTAATTGTGTAACGTCCAAACTAGATACGAGGCAAAAATCACGCCGCGCGTCTTCCGCGGAATTCTCGCGCATGCTGGAGAATGTTCGCGCATTCGCGAGAATTCCGCAGCTGCCGTCAGCGACGCCTGGCAATTCCGCGGGAGGCAGACGCTGTATGACGTCAAACGTTGATGTCACACAATAAATACTACAGCCTCAAGGCGCAGTCGCCAGAAAATTGGCGAAATTGATGCTTCCGTTCCATTCAAATTGAGCCTTATCCACAGTCCGATTTCACCCACAGCTGGCTAAAATCCTGCTGTAGTTTGTGCCATGCACCACGAATTTGTACTAGTCTCACCAATCTACGGCCCGCAACTTTGACAATCTCATCCACCCGTCTCGCTACAGGCGTCACAAGTTTCTGTAACCATTTCCTGGCCACCGTTCGATTGTCGCTTTACTTCATCTGTCATTACCACACCTCGCAATATGTTGTGCCTAGCTCCATTTTTCTACTAGTCATGTCCTATGGAGCAGAGACATGCACAAATTGAACGTGTGATGGAGCAAGCTATATTTGAGGTTTTCTGATGGATCGAATTCCTAATTAAGTCATACGTCAGAGAACTAGCGTGACCAACGTAGCTTGCAAAATCTTGTAAGCTTAAGTGGCAAAGGGACGGGCATGTCTGCAGGAAATCTGGCTGGATGCGCACGGTACAGGACTGGGAAACTTGACGTGCTGAGGGGGAGGCTTATGTCCAGCAGTGGATACTGTAAGCTGATGTAGTATTAACTCTATTTTAAGTTCATTATCCGATCTCCTATGTCCTAAACCATTTAATTTTAAATCAAGTACGTTAAGTTTTGTTCGAAATGACAATACTCAAAAGTTTGACAGGTGATTAGTAGAAACAGTTATATAAAACGGTAACACACAAAAGTTTGATAAATAATGAATAGAAGCAATGGTTTAAAGGGCAACACTGAGTCGGAAAGGCAGTGCAGTCTTGAGGCTAAAGCTGTAAAATTGACTTATGCCAGGAAAAATCCCAAACTTATGGGACATTTTATCGGGACTATTTACTGGAATACTATACATAAACGTTTATAAAATATGTAAAAGAAAACAATATCTAAATGACAAAATATACGAGAAATCTGTAAAGTCTACAAACGATTGTAATAAAATTGTTGTAAGTCAAGAGTACGTGCCGAACTATTTATTTTTTAATTTTTTTGTGCCTCTCACTTTAAAGAGTTGTAAAAAATTTGTCTTCTATTTTTAAAACTCACGAGTTGCTTTTGGACCCTTAAAGGGTGACGCCATCTTGAATTTTGACGTCAATGCCCGTAGTATCATTAGAAAAATTAGTTCTATAAAATTCTACAACACGGCAAGGGTCAAAAAACTAACTTGTCAGTATTTTAATACGTAAGTTTTTAATAATATTATTTAAATAACTTTTAATTACTTTTTTAAATATATACATCGTAAGTTATTTGATATCAAATGTACATATATATACATGACGTAACACTTATACATTTTAAACTATACCATAATACACTATGATATTGTCTAGTTAACACAGACTATAGAAGACCAGTAAAGGCTCCAAACCTCAATGGGACAGTACGGTAACGATAATGGACTAAGCATAATAATTTTATATTTATGTATAAAGGAGAGGGTTGATGTTTAGTTTGAAATTTATCATGAGCTTTTCGGTGAAGGAAAACCTGCACGTTGAAGAAGGTTCACAACACGTGTGAAGTCCCCAACCCGCATTGGGCCAGCGTGGCGGGCTATGGCCTAAACCCTCGTCTGAAAGGAGACCCGTGCCCAGCAGTGGGACATATAAATGGATTGATGATGAATGATGATGATCTTCTTTCATCCCGATTGTTTTCTTCCTGTATGAAATGATCCTTACAAGAATAGATTTTATTAAAACAAATTAGAAAATATTACTCATTTTTATGTACAACTCACTCTTGACCAAAAAAATGACTACTCCATAATGTTCACAAAAATAACCTAAAAGACCAAGTACAAAGACACGACGCAAGCAGATAGCAAAATTCGTGAGGTCCGTTGGTTCGTTCCGTGGCTTAGTTGGTATAACGTCTGGCACGGTATGCTATAAGACGTCGGTTCGAATCCGACCGGATCGAAGGATTTTTTTCTGAGTGTTCGATCTTTGTATTAATAATTGTAACAAACTAGTGGAGTAATTTAACAAAAAATATTTGAATATCAATTCAATAAAAATTTAATTAAAAATAACCTAATGGATCCTAAGACAATTATCTTCTATGGTTTCGGTAGCTCCTAACAATTATAACATATCAAATATCAAACCCTTAACATTTAACTGCCTCCGTGGCCGAACGGTTACTATGCCGACTGCCACGCAAAGGTCCCAGGTGCGATTCTCGGGCCGGGAGAATTATTTGTATGGCCTACATTATTTCTCTCGTGAATTAGGGTGTAACTTGTGGTTGTATATGTGTGTGTCCATGGCACCCGCGATACAGGGTTTCCCTAGTGTATGCGTTATTGAAATCGATCAAAAGGTGGTATTTGTTAATGGCCAAAAGACTAGTCAAGTTCAAATAAGTTCAATAACAATAATAAACAAATACCAACCTTCATAAGTCTCCCGTTTCAAGTAATCTAGTTCTCATACAGTACAGCGTATTCCCTAGTTTGAGAACAGATACTTGCTATGTTGGTCATACACATTTATTTATGATGCCATCCAATATCGTTCTATGACGTGAAAACATATGCCTCTGTTGGACAGTCTGTTTTAACTTGACTAATCAACATATAACTTAAGATTAAGTACAATTTATCTTTATATTTACTTATATAGGATGTTATGAAAAGGAATATTGGTTTGTATTTAAAATTGATGAGTCACTTTTGGAACCTGAAATGTAAATACTAGTTGGTTTTTTAACAGTGTTTGACCAAGGAATAGTAATAGCCAAATTAAATATAAAGAAACACTCTTGAGGAAGGGATTAATGTGAAAGATGGTTTTATTTTTAACAAACAAAGGATCGCGAGTGTACCAAAATTCTTAAATCTAAAAAAAAAAATTAAAAATAAAAATAAAAGAACTCAGGCCCCCGATTCCGAACTCTTCGATATTTTGACAGAATCGTTCGATTGGATTTTGTTCTCGAATCGAAGGGCACTTTCCGAGCTATTCAGAACATTCCGAGTTAAACGTTAGATTCGGATACGATATCTTTATCGAACAGCGTTTACGGAGTTAGTCGGTGAAATAGATTGTAAGAAAAATTAAAATCCTTTTATATACATTTTTAAGACTTTAAAGGCCTAAAATGTAGGAATGCATTAGTCTTGCACTAAAATAAATTAATAAAATTGAATAAAATCCAGATTTTATTTAAAATAATAAAAGATTTCCGTAATACATTCTTGCTTTGTAAACAATAGGACGTTCGGTAACTTTCATTCGACTACTGTGTTCTGAATAACGTTTGTAGCCTTTGCCGGTCGAGAAGTTCGAGTAATCGTACGGGTGTGACGTCATTTCGGTTCGGTTTCGAAAACTACAGTTTGACGGTCGATTCGGTTATTGTGAATAAAAATGAAAAGAAATCGTACGATATCTAATCGAATCGGTCGACAACAGTTATCGTAAGGTTCTGAATCGACTTGCTCATCAAAATAATTTAAAATCTAAATTCGTGTTCTGTTGTTCGAATTTTAAAAACATAACACTAAAATAGCGCGAAAGTATGCCTTGGCAACGTACCTTGGCAATTAAAAAAATAATACAGAACAACACTGTCACTTTGGAATTAAATCATACGGACGACATACACCAGTAGGCTTGGACTTTGTATTTTTTAGCTTTTTTTTAGTGTGTTTTGATTAAATTTCGACACGAATTCGACGAAAAAACTTACATGTTAATGCAATCACATCCATGTCTATATAATGAGCGAGAAAACTATAATGTCAGTATAGAGTACCAAAAAAACCAGCCTCAAAAGTTCCTAAAATTACATCTATTTGCCAAGTTTTGTTGAAATCGGTTACCGGAAGGTGCGCGAAACAGGAGTAATCCGTTATACGGGATTTACCACAAGAGATATAAAAATTGGTGCTCACTGCTTTAAAGCATATTGAGAGAGAAAAACTCATTCAAAGGGAGCATAACTAAATCAACCGTTAAAATAATTGCTCATTATAAAATTTAGGAGCTAATTATAAAAATATGACGGTTCATGATTCGGCCGGAGTTATCGCGTAACATACATACAAATAAAAAATAAACATATCGTTTGAAAACCTCCTCCTTTTTTTGAAGTCTGTTAATAATTCACAATACAACAGTCAAATTCCAAAAAGTTTTCAGCTAGTGCTAATGGAGAACCGCATTGCAAGTACTTTTCAGAACATCCTTTATATGAAACATTCCCATTATGTATGTTCTTTATGTAAATAAGTATGTTAAGATTCAGGCTCTATAATAAAGACTTGTTTTTCTATAGCTATGCTATGTAAATATGTATCGAATACCTTTTTTTATATAATTATTATATACTTTATTTATTAAACGAAGTAAGTAAGAAGTTTTTTGTAAATCTTTATTAGTAGAATTTATAGTGATCTCATTAATTGTGTATTTTAAAAGTCTTTCGGGTCAAAAACAAGGCGTTAGAGCAGTTACACACGGCGAGTTTTAACAACGCGTCTGCAGCGATTCAGCCGCTAATTATCTACCTTTACACGTCAGCTCGAATTCTTATTTTTTCTCGTACTAATACGGTTCATTTTGCTTGCGTCAAGCGGCATTTCAGTTTGTATTTTTTTACAAATGAAATTAAAGTCTTTTGAAAAATGTATATCGTATAGTACACGTATTCTATTTAGTTCCGTTGATATTTAAAAAAATCATTGGTATACATATGTAAAGTACATATTGTATACAGCGGTTTTCTTGTAAAAGCGAATTAAGTTTGTGCTTCTTTCCTATCGTGAATATTCTTAGGAATCGTGTTTTCACACCGTATACTAAACAGTGTACATCTTCAATTTTACTATATATTTTTTCCAAAGTCGTTGATTCAACACTTTCAGTATTATGCGGTATTAACCAAAGCCATTTGAGAAGATTCATACAATCGCTGTGCATGTTTTTATGGATTCAACATAAGCGGCTGCATCGATGCAACCGCCTATACAAACGCGCGTTATCGCTGCTAAAATCACCGTGTGTAACCGCTCTAAAGCAAAAATGAAAAACGCATCTACTAAATTAAAGAACACCCTGTATTAAAAAAGCTGATACCAACTTAAGAATAATGTAATAATATTAATTATGTAAAGATTTGCATTTCACGTAATTCAAAGTCTGATTACATAACCATACTGCCAAAACACTTGTAAAGAATACCTATTTAGAACTGTAAATGTTGACCAGAAACTTAAAACCTACTTTGTAGAGCATAGAGATTTAAAGGTTGAACCTTACTTAGCGGAACTGCTCTGAACTACAAGGATCAGTGAACAACACGCCTCCTTTTGTTTGGCATTTTAAATTGTGCTGTGTATGTCGTATAAGATTGATCAGCGAGGCGAAGATTGTTTTTTAAATAAACTGAACCACAAAATTTTCGTAAAGAGTCATAATAAAATACCTAAATCCCTGTGCTCTAAGTTTGTGTACAATAACATAAAAATTTAAAAAAAAAACTAAAAGAAAGGCTGACAGAATACCTGAAATGCTTTTGCGTTTGTGTGTTTTAATACTTATTAAATAAAAATGATGGCATTTTTTTAAAAGAAAAATGTATCGATGTTACACCCTTTATAAACAATATATTGTTGTGTTCTCTACTAGTACATGTCTATTATCATTATCTTTTAAAGTAAATTTAATTATTTTTTCGTAAGTTTCTGGTGAATCTATACCTAATTTACATTATACTATGAAAATAAATTATTGTAGCTATATTTTGTTGTATTACTTTTATTTCTATTTCAGATGATATACATCGCACACAGGTTTCAACACTGATACATCGTAAAATGGCAAATAAATACGTGACAGTTATGTTTTCGACCCATACCCTAGCGATCACGAACACGAATATTTTTAATTTATGACAATGTTGAAGTCAGTATGATATTATAGTAAATCACTAGCGTATCTATGCATTAAAGCGAAACACACAGAGAGCGAGTGTTAATTCCGTGTATATATAATTTATAAGGACGCGTGTGGCCGTCCCGTGCCCTCGTGTGGTTTGTTGTCGTCCATATATCTTTCTAATTTGTGGTTTGTGGTATTTACATGTCTAAACATGTAAATACACGGAAATACAACCGCCGCGCTCCCGACCCGACACGCGCCCGACTCGCATCCGCTCTCACTGCCCGCACACACAGAGAGCGGGTGCGGGTTCACGCAGGGTTAACCTGATTTTAATTTATTAAAATTATAATTTCATGGCTAACCTTTTTACTAACCAGCTGCCGAAGTAAGCGGGAAATAAATAAGACATCAAGAAACACGCGATCCAAAAAATTAAAATCCCTACAGAAGTTTTGAGGCCACACACAAGAGAGGATAGCTTCTTCGAGTGCGTCATACAAATTTAATATGTCATAAAACTCATCATATTTAAGGTACCTACAAATTTAAACCCGCTCCTATGTTACTATGGCCGTGCATAGTTACTTTTCCGTTAAATTATATTACAGTTTTAAATTTACACGATCTCGAAAACGTAATTTTCCATCAAAAAGAATGAGAAGAATTTTACTTTCTCTCAAATTCTCGCGGATTCGCCAGGCGTCGTCGAATGCAGACACGGAATTCTCGCAAATGCGCGAGTATTCTCGAGCACGCGCGAGAATTCCACTGAAGACGTGATTTTTGGCTCGGACCTATCTAGTTTGTATGTACATTACACAATTGACCACAAAATTCATTATGCTATATACAATATCGTTACAAAAATTCCATTCCATTCCGGTCCGCCGCAATATAAATTGAGCCTTACATTAATGTTATTCCATAGACCTCGGTACCATAATCATTTAATGAACCATAAACCACTGTAGGTGTACAATAATTTGCGTCACGGCTGATACCGAGAGTTAAAGTTTCGCCACAAACTTGTGAACGAGCTATGCAACATTTCCATTGACTTAGAATTATATGGACGTCGGGTCCGCGCTAAAAAGTGTCCGCACTTGTAAGGCGCTAAAATCGTATACAGAGCGCCAAACTCCGCTTTAGTCTTCATTTGTTCGACTGACAGCGCGATACTGCGATGACATTACAATTTAAATTTGGAATAGGTTGACTTGAGACATTTTTTTCGTGGTTTTTGTATTAGACCCGTCGTCCATTTATTTGTAAGTCAATGAACATTTCTATAAATCGAAAATGAAAAAGAAGATGCACATCCAATACATAATCCCAAAGACAACTTGAAACTCTATATATAGGTTTGTAGGTAACACTCATTGACTTACAAATAAATGGACGACGGGTCTAATACAAAAACCACGAAAAAAATGTCCCAAGTCAACCTATTTAAACATAGTGACATGTAAAGGAATATGAAAAAGCTAAAACGTTTGAATTTAAATTGTAATGTCATCGCAGTACTGTCTAATTTTGCTTGCTTCGCTGTCAGTCGAACTAACGAAGACTAAAGCGTGAATGACGCTCTGTATACGATTTTAACGCCCTTTAAGTTCGGACACTTTTTAGTGCGGACCCGACGTCCATATAATTGTAAGTCAATGGTAACACTCCATTTATTATACATTAAATAATATAATATGTTCTTTAGAGATCAAATATTAAATAATATTTCTACACTCAATTATTAAATAACACTTCATAATAACGTTCTAGAATACTTAATACTAATTTGAAAATGACCTTGTTCATGTTAACGTGTGCAGTGAAGGAAGCCTTAAGTATTGACAGATGGACACGCCATTTTGTCGTAAACGATGCATCGATGGTTTACCAACTTCCCATCTATTCCCACAGTTGCAGAAGTTATCACACTGATCCGAGTGATCTAACAGGTGTTTTAAGGAAAAAAAATAACGTCAAAAGATTGAGCACACATTTTGGTCGAATTTTCTTACAATCTCTCAGGTACTGTGTCAGGAAAGCAGCGATCTCAGTAACAATCCCACTTGATTTTAGAACTACCCTGGTATATCGAGTTCTTAGATTTTCACGATTGTTACACATAGGAAATGATTTACAGGTCCGCGTAATATACGCGATTTAAATCCGGAAAAATAGTTTCATTTCCTATACCTTGGTATATATTATGCCTTTCTCAAAGAGCCTTTGCATATGGCGTATTTTATTGGCGCCGAAAACTTGCGTCATCTGCGCCTATACGCGCCGCAAAAGCGCTGTAGTGAATCGATTCAAACGCGCGCAAACTTTAATAAATTAACAGAAATTAACAAACAAAACAAAAATTAAAACTATCTCGTATCAAAATGCGTTATACACGCGCGTTTACAGCGCGTCTACGGCGGCGCGTATACGCGCAGATGACGCGCTTTTACTGCGCGTACACACGCGTCGTCGTTGGCGCGTATTTTATACACGAAGACGACGCGCTGATGGCGCGCGTTAACGCGATTCAAACGAGATTCACTCGTAGCTAGTAAACATACACACGTTCACAAATTCATACGCGTGCAAAACGATGTTTGCGTGCGTTTGAATCGGTTCACTTCAGCGCGTCTGCGGCGCGTATACGCAGAGATGACGCGCGTATACACACAGATGACGCGCGTTTACGAAGCCATAATAATATGGCGCAGTGGCGCGCACCTCCCCAGCCCCTTTCCTCAGTCTTGCAACGCAATGTTTCATTCGATGCAAACGTGCTTCGAACGCGCGTTTGAATCGATACAAACGGAACAGTCTGGTTTTCGAACATCATCGTCGCCGTAAACGCGCGTTCAAAGCGCGTTCGTGAAACGCGCGTCGTCTGCGCGTAAAAACATAAAATAGTACCCACATGCAGAAGTCAAATATGCTAGTTGAAATTACTTGGCCTAGGCAAACACAACTAATTAAAGAGTCATTTAGGTATTTTTTACCGTTTAATTAAGTGATTGTTATTGAAAAAAACAACACCTAACCACAGAAAACAGTCAATGTTTATAATTTAAACTACTAACATTGTGTATTTAATTAACAACATTCTCAAGGTTTTACTCTAAACACCTGTGACCTTTATTTTATTCTTACACGTACAGTTTCCACAAAAGTAAACATCTGATAACCTTGAATCGGAGTGCAATCTGCGAAAAAGTTTAAATTACACATAATCTAGTAAGCTAAAAACGTAATCTGCTCGTTGGTGTGTTGTCTAACATACGCGTTAGACTCGAGGGTTTTCACTTATTGCCGTTTGAGATTCTAAATATACTGCAAACATTTGATCTGGTAAGTGCCATAATTTCCATTCCTTGAATGAGTCCGAAATAGGTGATCGTCGCGACGGGAGGCAACCTCCATGATGACAATGAAAGTGGTGATGTTGCATTATCACAGCCCATATTGTGACCGGCTCAAACTTCCGAATCTCAAAAATGTCCTGCACTTAAGGACGTAGATAGCGTTAAAGCAAAAATTGTGTCGCCTCTATCTGCCCCCAGCATTCGTACCATTTTTACTGTACCGGGTTACAAAAAGAACTCTAAAAAGTAAGCTTGGAGTTTAAGACCGCCAGAAGAAGGAAATTTATTGATAGTGATTTCCTAAATAACAATAAAGTTACTGCTGACATCTCAAGATATCAGGTTTCTAAGTTGTCTTCATTTATATAAATATTTATAAGTACTCTGTGGTGTTGTCCCTTTTTAGATCCTCAGTGTTAGCAACGGATCTCCGGCTATCTAATCGGACATAGTCACACCAACGTAAAAGTGTCGTCTTCTTCAACACTGACATTGGCAGAATCATCGTGAACATCTATGGAGCCATTATGAGAATTGGGATAAGCTGAAAACGGTTGTTTTGGAACTTATGGGTGTCACTGTGATTACTGATTAACCATATCTTTTAATGAAGTTTGAGTGCGTTTTGAACCTTTGACGTGTATTTGCTTTACGCTCTGTAAGCACTGTTTCGGATGAAAAAATATTATTAATCAATACGGAAAGCTGCACATTCAATAACCCATAAAAGATAACAAAAAAAGTAAATGTGCAATGGAAACAGACTACTTTAACACTGGCCACATGCCTCGTCGATCGTCATTGGTAACCGAAACGTCAACAAAAAAAATTGTTTACAAATGGCCTCTGGCGATAAATTCAAAGTTGTTCCACAAATTTGTGATATAAAAGTAGTTTTGAAGTGACAAAAATCGTTAGAAACATTGTTTATTGTTGAAATGGGTAACTGTATAGCTAGAGTTTGCCGCCGTAGGAGATTGCGGCGTCATATAGTGTTAATTTTAATCGGATTAGACAACGCTGGTAAAACGAAAACTGTGAACAACTTGGCTGGGGAGAAAGACGATAAAGTTTTACCTACAGTTGGGTTCAAGGCTGTAAACTTAGTGCATAAGGATACACCCGTGACGATATTCGACCTTGGAGGAGGGCCAGAGTTCCGAGCAATATGGCCACAGTACTACAGCGAAGTCCATGGGGTAATTTTTGTAATTGATTCGAGCGATTTTTCACGCTTGGATGAATGCAGAACGGTGCTCTCGGAGGTGTTATCACATGACAAGATATCGGGTAAGCATTTCCATGGTTACATTGTATTACAACATGCTCTGACTTTATATTTGGCAAGGTTGTCACCATCGGAATATTACACGTGCACGTGCCGTGGGTATATAGGTATATATATATATATATACATAACGTGACCATTATTTATTTCTCTCAAGAGTGGGACCCCTGAAGATTACATATTTTTGTTTTAAAACTAAGACATATGTTTATGATAGTTCAAAATTTTAAAAAAGATCTGTATAATCTTGAGCAGTCTGGTGGGCTGGCTAAATATATATTTCGCTTTCGCGCCATTTTTTGAAATTAATTGTTACTTTTTTGCACTTTATTTTGTCAAATCGGGACATTGTTAAGTATTCTGGTGAAAACTGGATAGAGAAACTTAAAAGTGGGGTATGTGGTCACATTATGTATACATCCATTCTGCATAGGTATATACTAGAGACACACTATGTATATAGGTAAGTAAATCTCCCATTTAGGTACAGATTACTTATGTAAGCACTTAATATACATTAGGAAGAATTTAGTAGAGATGTAATTTTCTTATACATATATGGTGTTAAAGTTCATATTGGGTGAGATGATGGCACTATAAAAACAACAGAAAAATGTGTTAGTGTTTTTTTTAATTGTGTTTTATATTGGTGTGGACCTAAATAAACACTTGTTTTTATTAAGTCTAATTTCATATTACTCGTCTTTGTATAGTCAAAAATTCAAGACCTACAATTTAAGCAAGTAACAAGCATACAAAATTGTACATTATAGTAATTATAATAACTATATTAAATTTAAATAAGCATAATTGAAAGGGAAACAGTACATTACATTAAAGTATTAAGTATAGGGTTGTATATACATGCTACTTATACTTATATTTAAAACTCCCAAATCCCAAATTAAGCATGGCCTGTATCTCAGTATTGAGTGTTCGTCCTCCCTCTTGCTATCAACAGATATGTACACTGCCCTCCTTGTCATAGACAACACATTTGCATTTTGGTAAGTTTCGAAAAACTGGCACCTGGTTTTTTTTAAAATGTCAATTCGGCTGATTTTGCTTAACTATAAAACGGAAACTAAATAAGATATTTAAAAAACTCGTATAAGGGTTGTAGAGCTCGTTTTGCATAAATTAACTGCTTCTGTGGCTGAACGGTTACCATGCCGGACTGCCACTCAGAGGTCCAAGGTTCGATTCCCGGGCTGGGAGACATTTGTTTGTCCTACATTTATTATTTCATTCATTATTTCTTTCGTGAGTGTTGTGTGTATGTGTGTCCATGGCACCTGCGACACATGGTTTCCCTAGTGCAGGGCTATGTTGAGTGTGTGCATTATTATATTATAATATTGAAACAAAATACTACAAGATTCTGATATTTCAGAGGTAAAGAGTCCTCTCTGTGTGTTTAAATTCCTTGAAATTTAGGTATATATATTAAATTTCTCTAGTTTAGTCAACAAAATATTAAAATAATTCAATCAATGTTAAAAAATAGCAAAATATTCATTATTAAATATAATATTATGTGGAATATAAAGATAATGCAATACCAAATAGTCCTACTGCTATATAGAAAAGTCTTTCAATAAAAACTTAGATAGTTAAGAAGTTAAAATTCATATAAAAAAAGGTAGGTAAAGGTAAATGACAGAACTTTTTCAAATTTTCACATTGTATTATAATAATATGGCACAAACAAGGAATATCAAATAGCCAGTAATAGAAAAGTCTGATTGGTACATAGGTGTACTGTTTATAATGTTAATAATTGATTATTTTTTTTTTTTTTGGCCAAAAAGGTTTTTTGTGGTGACAAATTTTGAATAAAAATAAACCACTTATATTTCGATCTCCTGATTATTACCAAATTCTCAAGTCACCATATGAGAACATGGGAAGGTGAGAATTTGGTAACCTGTCACAAAGGGTATAGTAATATTACATGTTACCTTGAAACATGACATTTTTAAATAAACATAGTGCCATCCCTTTTTGTACACGTGCTTAACAAATTCAATAACTTTCTTATCAGTTTAGTAAGCAACTGAAGTGTGAAAATTGCCACTGAAATTGGCTGGCTATCATAAAAACTTATCAACCACACAGCCACTTACGTAAATTTTATAATGTCATTGCCATAGGTATGTTACATGTGCGCGCATTAGGCAGGCTTTATTTATACATTGTAGGAAAATTCACATACAAAATAATACAATTATGGTATACTTAATTATGAGTAATCCAATGCACATTTACGAATTTCCACCAACATGAAACATTATAAAGTGCTTAACAAGCCAAAAAGAGATTATAGGAGAATACAAATAACACAGTCAATAAATTTAAAAATAAATTTATGAATATTAGTTAAGGCAATGTGAGTTAAACTGTTAGTAGCCATCTCTTCTGGCAATATGACTACATAAATCAAGTATCTTACCTACTTATTTGGTCATGTCTAAATAAATACTAGCAAAATCAATCCAGTACCTACTTATTTGCAACCCAAAACAATGAACCGAAATAACATAAACAATCAGTCACATCATAGGAGTTTTCCTTTTTGTTGTTCGTTTTTGTATTAATAATGATTCATGATTATCATAGTTATAAACGAGCACTGTACCCCACTCACAGTGGAGTCGGGCTCGGCCTGCGGCGCGAGGCCGGGTTCGGTTTATGGGGTGTGTTCAAGCTCCTCGATGGCACAGCAGTTAGTACTACGGGCGCTTGATGAGGAGTTCGATTCCCGATTTGGACCAATTTAAGAAACTAACATTAAATTTCTAAGTTGGTTTTGGTCTGAGTATTCTGGGTTATCGTTGTTTCGATATTCATAGTACAGGAAATTCGGCAGCAGTTTGGCATTTTTTCCCTCTAAATACTTCTCTTTGGCATAGTTTTCAAGAAAATGGAATCTAACAGAGAGACGATCGAGATACAACAACGCTATAATAAGTATCTCATTTCCACTACATCAGGAAGTATACCTTACATTTTTACAATTGTGAGATCATATACTCGTAATCCGTATAGTATCTCCATCGCGATAGCGTGCATACGCTTCGGGCTTCGCCCTCCGCGGGCCTTGGCCTACGGCCTCGGCACTTATTACTTTGTTTTAAAAAATTGAAGTAACTTTAATGGCGGCCATATTTAAAAATTGCAAAAATAGTTTTTTACCACTAATTTTTATCAAACAATCTTAGAAATCTTTTCGTCCCAATTTTCAGTTGAAGCAAAGCAATTTTTTTCAACAGCCATTTACATAAAAAATTTTGCGGAAACAAAATTTTTACCCGAAATTATGATTGAAGCCATGCCATTTTCAGTTGAATTAGAAAAAAAATATCCAAAAAAGTTTGTATGGCAGCCTTGAATAAATGAAATATTAAAAATGGCGAAAAATAAATTTTGACCGCCAATTATTATTAAACACTCCTAGGGACTTCGACATGTTCATTTTCAATCGAATTAGAGCAAATTTTTATCTGCTGCTAAAAAAGGTTGTATGGCAGCCATATTGAAAAAAAGGCAAAAAATAAATTTTGACCGCAAATTATAATCAAAAATTTATAGATACCGATTATCATACCGATTTTCAGTTAAATTAGAGCTAATTTTTATAAACGCTTGTTTGGCGGCTTATAAAAAAATGGCGAAAAACCAATTTTGATCACAAATTATTATCAAGCACTCCTAGAGACCCCCATATGCCAATTTTCAAAGGGATCTGAGCAATTCTTTTTCTGCCGCCAACGAACGCTTCTATGACGGCCATATTTGAAAATGGCGAAAAACTAATTTTGAACACAAATTATTATCTAGCACGGCACTTCTAGAGGCCTCCACATGCCAATTTTCAGTCGATTCAGGGCAAATCTCTTTCAAAGAAAAGAAAAAAACGCTTATGTGGCAGCCATATTAAAAAATAGCGAAAATAAACTTTTGACCCCAAATTATGATTAAGGACTCCTAAAGACCGTTGCATGTTAATTTTCAGCCGGATCGAAGCAAGTTTTTCTTCGGCCGCCATTTTTAAATCGCCATCTTGATTTTAACCCAGGCAGTTGACCAGTGTTACCCTCTATGATATTCCTTCGAGCACCTCCTACCTATCTCTAATAGTTTCCGTGATAGGGGGCTTTGAAATTTGTATGGCGGTCATCTTATTTATTTGAATTTCGAACATTTCTTACTTCCCGCGGAAATTGACCAGGGTGTACCTAAAAATGCACAAATACTCCCTTCGTATATTATAGTTTTTGCAGGCCGTTGATCACTCTTTCATATTTTCCATATTCCGGTCCTCTCATATTTGATCCTTTGCTTTGGAGCCCATCCGCGTACAACGGTATAAATATTTATTTTCCACCATATCGGGAAGTATGAGTTCTATTTCTATCAGTGAGTAAGAACTTCTAGTATGTAGTAGTATGTAGCATTATATATACATATAATGGGAAGGGAAAAAATCCATTTATTGATTAAGTTTATTTAGTTAGTAGTAGCATTTTCGAGTAAATTGATAATTAACCAGTTTAACTTTTTAGACCCGTTTAGCTTAGTTGCAGGCATTTTCGATCTAAGGGCGCGTTCCCATTATGTCGTGACGACAGATAGTCGTGCAGCTTAAAGTGTCGTGACTTGTATATTTAAATGAAGTTATTCACATGTTGTACAATACGATTAACCGTCGTTCACGACTTTTTTGACGTTACAACGACAGATTGTGGAGACTATGGGAAGAGCTAGAACGACAGTCGTCAGACGATTAATAAAAGTCACGATAAAAATGTGACGACAGATAATCGCAGCTTCAAACGATTCTGTCGTGCAAACGACAAGGCGGCTGCCGTGAACCGGTAATTTGTCGTCACGATCTAGTGGGAACAGCTATAATAGACACGACAGTCGTTAAACGATAATATAAACGTCTACGACACAGTCACGACAGATAGTCGTTATATGGGAACAGGCTAGATGCGACTGTCGTCCAACGATAAATAAAACGTTACGACATAGTGGGAACGCGCCCTGTGATATTTGAAATAAATATAGTAGATGATATATGTATTCACATGCACACACGCCAGCACATCAAGCTATATATTGACGTATCTTGTTCCGTTGCACTTTAGGCGATTTTCGAACAAAAATGTATAGTCTGATGTGCCGTTGTCCTACAGTTTCTTGCTCATTCTTCTCAAGGGAATCTGCCATTCGAATGAGCAGGAGAGTTTAATGTAATTGTAATTTGCTTACATAAGAAATAAAAATGATTTGACTTTGAAATTAGCAATGACCGGCAACATAATATCTTTTTTGTGCTAGAATATTTAATTTAATTTACATAACTAAGCTAAAATTGATCTATAATAATTTTTATCATCTGCATTGCAAACTACATATGAATATCCACTGTTAAATTGTCATATAATTTTCAGGTAAACCGATATTAGTGTTAGCCAATAAACAGGACAAGACTGGCGCTCTTGATGACATTGACGTCGTTGAGAAACTAAACATTGAACCTTTGGTTAACAGGTAAGTTTGTTCCGGATTTAAATCGCGTATTTTCAAACAAACCGACGTTTCGGGCCCTTTACAGGTCCCATGGTCACGGTTGACTGTAAAGGGCCCGAAAAGTCGGTTTGTTTGAAAAACCATTCACGAAAACCTAAGAACTCGATAAGTAAGTTTGTTTTAAAATCAATTGTGCCATTCTCAAGATGTAGACTGTTCTAGAAGTATACTACTATTAAACAAATATATTCCGATTGTTTTGACTAGTAGGAAAAGTAAAATCTCATCTCTGCTTAGGCTAATAGCAGATTGAGTGCATGTTTGTAGTAAATCCGTGAAGCTGAAATCGACTTCACGCAGCCGAGACCGTCTGCATGCAGTTGATAACGACTTCACTCATTAGCTAACACATACTGCATGCAGTCTATCTCGGCTGCATAAAGTCGATTTCGACATTACTGCTTAGCGACGAAAATAGGGTAAGAGTCACTATGCTACAAATCCATTGATATACAAACATACTGTCTTCATACAGGCTGTTATGGGATAGCTACGGCTAAATTTGCTTTAGCTTTGCCTTAGCCTTGCACCACTTCACGCATTAACTACAAACATGCTGTCAATCTGTCAGCAGCCGGGATTTGTAGAATAGTGACCCTTACCCTATTTTCGCCGCTAAACAGTAATGTGATCTTCACTGCGTTCCAGTTTTAAAGGGTAAGGGTGGTGGTGAATTACAGGCACATGGGACTTGTCAACAATGTCTCAGGGTGAGGGACCCAGTGGCAGTACCCATCAGATCTTTGTGACATAAAGCGGCATGGCAATTATTATGGATAGGCCTGTCGCTTAACACCAGCACGCACGACTTGTTCGTGCCGTTGGTATCATAAAAAAGACCAGTCAAAAACTATGTCAGTATTGTTTAAAAAAACTGAGGTGTTGTTGGCGAGGAATAGTATTCCGGCCCAATATTGTCATTAACCAATCAATATATTTCTATTCACTAATAGACATCGGGAGAATATTATTTGATCCTCAGAGATATAATTGATCTATTGTAAATGTGCACTTTTTTCAATAAACGATATTTTCTTTATGTTTGATATAATAATAATAATAGAAGTTTGTTTCTTTTCTCACCAAAATATAGGTACATTGAGCATGATATCGAGAACAATTCATAAAAACAAGAATTATATTGTGGGCGACTGGTGCCACCCCTTGGAAAATACAAATTTGTCACTTGGAGTTATGTACTTATACATTGCCACTGCGATAACTAAATTAACTATTTAAACTAAAGTTTACAAATGAAGCAAAAAACAAAAATAAAAAGGCAAAATTATTTTTTTTAACGCACACACTCAACGTACCCCCTCACTAGGGAAACCCTGTGTCGCGGGTGCCATGGACATACATATAGATAACCACAAATTACGCCCAAAGTCACGAGAGAAATAAATGTAGGCCATATAAATATTTCTCCCGGCATGGGATTCGAACCTGGGACTTCTGTGTGGCAGTCAGTTACGGTATGGTAATCTTTCGGCTACATAGGCAGTTAATTAAAAGTATTGTTCGTGCTGTGTTACACTATTATTATATTAACTTTATTATATTATATTAACTGTTCTGTCTATATTACTTGATCTACGGATAATTATATGTACAAATGAATTGCATTCAAGGTAACATATTATGTTGAAGCATACTAAATTAATATTTGATAGAAATCATCAAAATATCATCAATGTTATAGGTACCGCTGCCCCACCCTCGTAGAATCATACTCAGCTCAAATGGAAAATCCTGTTAAGAAGTCCAAAATAGATCCTGGTCTTCGCAAAGGCTACCATTGGTTGCTCAACTACATCTGCAAGCGTTACGGAGATATAAACTTACGCGTGCAGACAGACAAATACGCAGAGATGGAGCGCCGTAAGAGAATGTTAAATAAGGCTTCTAACAGGTAATAGCACAAGTCGTTGTAGAATAAACGTCAACCATCGAGTATATAACCAGAAATAGAGACGTCATTTAATTTCTTTGAAAACTATTCTGCCAAATAATTACTATGACAACTGCGCCAGCCCGAATTCGAAACAATTGACGAGTGTCGTCAATTGCAAAATTAGATATTTAGTTACCGATGAAATGTGATTCCGTTTGTTTTGTAATTAGATGTTTTGCTGTTTTTCCCGAATGAAACAGCCCCCATTGTTAGAGATATTGTCTTTATTGCAATAAATAGAGAATATTTTTGGAATATACGGAGACATACACACAGGTCAGTTGTTGGCGCTGTACTATTTCCGTTTTTTAACTTGTGATTTTAGCGCAAACGAGAGTTGATATTTAAAAGTTATATAAGGCCCATTTACCTGATATTTCTGGTTATATACTCGATGACGTCAACAAACAAAAACATGTTTTTTAGGGTTCTCAACTTAGACTGTTTTACAGATACTACAATTTTTATTTTCCCTCCGAAATTTGATTAGACTGTTGATAATAACCATGGACCAATAAATCAAGAGGTCTGCTAATCTCCATACCGTCGTCTTAGAGTCACTACCTCGTATGTGATTTCTATATAATTTTTCAGGACGAAAAAAAAGTAGTGTAAAAAAAGTAGTAAACGCAATAATGTTATGTAGTTGCCATTTTAATTAGTTAAATTATACCTCTTTCATATACTATTACTTTACTAATATATTGGAGCAATAAGTTTTTCTTCAACAAAAATCAGTAAAAACGAACTGTGTGTAAATGCGTACGCGAGTATTTCACTCTAAGGCGACGATACCACAAATCATAACTTAGAAAAAGGTCAAAATTCCGTCTTATATCTGTTTCAATAACCTGAAAGTAGTTTATATTATGTAAATGACCGTGGATATCAATTAACTCCACTTTAATTGATCATGGGCTGAAATTACTTTCTTAACTTTGACAAATATGCATGTCAATAGCCGACATTGTGTGCAACTAATTTACAAATTAACGCTTCCTGATATGGGTAGATGGCGCTAATATTAAACAAAGTAAAACAATAGCATGCACTATCCGTAAAAATCGATGCGATAAGCGCCATCTAGTTGATTTGTTTGTTACCACTAGACATTAGAGTAGATTTGATAAATTGCAGCTTGTCAATGTAAAACAAATTATAGTCTGTCTTTTTTGAAGACAGAGTAAAATGACAGTTCATTGTGCAAAAGGGTTGCCCGTTTACTAGCAACTATCGACTGATTTTTTTTTTAATGCATACACTCAACATTTCCCCGCACTAGGGAAACCCTGTTTTGCGGGTGCCATGGAAACACATAGACAACCACAAATTAAACCCAAACTCACGAGAGAAATAAGTGTAGGCCATACAAATATTTCTCCCGGCCCGGGAATCGAACCTGGGATCTCGGCGTGGCAGTCCGTGATAGTAACCGTTCGGCCACAGGGGCAGTTAAATTTTGCAATATTGGTCACGGTTATGGAATAAATAGCTGAAATTGTTTCGTTTCAATCGTGCTCGACTCATTATTCATCCAAATACTGGGCATAGGTTCATTTGAATCGACATTTTTGTCAGTTCATACATACATACACTGTATTTAGAACTATGTTTATGAAAAATACAAGGAGGAGACATATCTTAAAGTTTTTCATTTTAATTCAATATATATAATCAAATCCGGCTATTCTTGCTAAAATGTACATGAATAAAATTTGACCTCATTATTAGTAGACCAACTTTAAAAATAAGAATAAAGAAAACCAAAACGCATTTAGTAATCATTAGAACGTCGTAACATTTCACAATTCAGTCATTTTTGGCATAATTTTGTCTTCTTTTAGAATCTATCGATAATTTTTAAACTGGCAACCCTACAAATGTCATTTTACTCCGTCTTGAAAAAAGACGAAGTATAGTTACAACAACAGCTATTTGGCACTCGTCGCGACATCTGGTGTACGAATAGGTGCTAAATACCCAGCTACGCTGTCTTGTATCGCGTTTAGCGGTCTTCTTGAGTTATTGATACTAATCTTGAAATCATGTCTGTGATGAATTTTTTTAGTAGTTTCAAATCACTAGTAAGTGATTATAAGCTGACATAAAAATTACCAATAATTAATTATATATAAAACTGTGTCATACCTAATTTTTTTTTATTTGTAAGGATGGATTGTAAACATTCGAGTAGTAATTCAATTTCATAATCGGAAATTGGTTCTGGATAAGATGTAGTAAATTAAAACAAAATTATAATATTTTTAATAAAAAAAAAGACCTCACAAGTTCGTGGAAATACATATATTTGCCATGTTTTGTTGAAATCGGTTATCAGAAAGTATGCGAAACCGGATTCATCCCCTAGTTTAAATTGGTCCAATACTGAGGTACTCTCTTTCCAACAAAAATCATCAGAATCGTGTAATATACACACAAAAATATACAGTTGAATCCTCCAGGGAAATCCTCCTTCTTTTTCGATGTCGGTTCATAAATAAATAAATTAATAGGATTCAAAAGCTTAATAACCTATTTTGATTCTTAACGCTGATCAATAGATGGTAAGTAAACTCGCGATGCGATTGTAACAATATTTGAAAAGACCAACGGATGGCAGTTATAACATTTTTCTCAAGGTTATTATTGCTCTTGTTCAGGCGTTGTTATGGCTATCTGTACTAGTATAGTATTATATCTGTGATTCTGATTATATTATTGAACAAAGAATTTATTGGTCTCTCTATTTAATTTTAGGGCCTCCCAAACGTTCACAGCTGTAAGCGACGATATAGCCACGCAGACTGGTTTTGAAAACCCTAATTACGAACTGCCAGATCGCGAGAAAGACCTAGACCATGGCCTTATTGTAGTAAAACCTATGCGTAACCACGTGAATAGTGTTGACACCACACTAACCATAGAAAGCGACACTGACAACACTAGTAACGCAAAACCAAAGCTATCTCCTCTATTTGGTCATAGTAATAGTTCTGCAACAGAAACTGTGAGAATAGAATTAGAGCCTAGAAGCGAGTTTAGGAAATTGTCACCACTTGTCAAGAAACAACATATTGACTTTCACAATCGACCACAGTCGAGTCCCAGCCCTAATGTGAAGAAGCATATTAAGGTATGTACAATGTTGATTTTTGACTAATAATGAGTATTTAATAAGATTAAATTATAGTGAAACTAAAACTTTCTACTAAGGGCGCGTTCCATTATGTCGTAACGTTTTATTTATCGTTGGACGACGGTCGTTTCTAGCCTGTTCCCATATCACGACTATTCGTCGTGATTCTTTTGGGGACGTTAAGTTTTATCGTTGAACGACTGTCGTGTCTATCTGTTCTCACAAGTTCGTGACGACAATTTATTGGTTCACGGCAGCCGCCTTGTCTTTTGCATGACAAAATCGTTAAAAGCTGCGATTATCTGCTGTCACATTTTTATTATAACGTCAAAAATGTCAAAATGTCAAATTTATTCAACTGCCTCCGTGGCCGAAGGGTTATCATGCCGGACTGCCACGCAGAGGTCCCAGGTTCGATTCCCGGGCCGGGAGAAATATTTGTATGGCCTACATTTATTTCTCTCGTGAGTTTGAGTGTAATTTGTGGTTGTCTATGTGTGTGTGTGTGTCCCTAGTGCAGGACTATGTTGAGTGTGTGCGTTATTATTGACTGTATTATTACTTTTTACTTATTTTATTTTTATTATTGTTCACAGAAGGAACCACTAAGTAAGGATGCCTCTGTCCAGGAGTACGATCAAGATATCAAAGCCGACGGCGACCTGACGATGTATTTAGGTGACGGAAATAGAACCTGGGACCAAACGGAGGAGAATAAACACCGTGTGCTCGTCAAAGACGTTGAGCTTTCTCAACTGCACCGGGAGATTGTACTGACTGAGCGAGGTTTGTGTGTTTTTCACGTATATTTATTTTGACACCAGCATTAGCTCTGCACTAACTCGAATTTTGTCGATTTTGTGTTTATAGTGCTAAAATTAAATTAAAAAAATTAATTAAATTAAATTAAAATTCTCAGCTAATTTAAATTAAATTTAAAATTTAATAAAATTACACACAACGTACTTACTTGGTACTTGGTGCAACGGGCTGGTATCCGCAACTCGACGAAATAGAAAAAAAATAAATTAAAAATAAATTATAAATTATAAATTTCATATATTTTATACCTTTGATTAATAACTTGTCAACAATCATTCGAATATTATGTTTGAAAGCCCTTTTATATGCTCTGGTGAAAAATAGCAATTTTTAAGTTGCTGTTGTCGTTTATACTTTTTTCTTTCAGAAAAATTTTATTTTATTTAAGTCCACCAATTAACTCGTCTGGATCGTCACACCCAGACCAGAATCAATTTAGACAAGTTCATTGCCAAATTGGTCTTACCGTAGGGTTCAACTAACCCGGGACCTCGTCATCCAGCGTCGTCTTAACTGCCTCTGTGACCGAACGGTTACCATGCCGGACTGCCACGCAGAGGTCCCGGGTTCGATTCCCGGGCCGGGCGAAATATTTGTATGACCTACATTTATTTCTCTCGTGAGTTTGGGTGTAATTTGTGGTTGTATATGTGTGTGTCCATGGCACCCGCGACACAGGGTTTCCCTAGTGCGGGGCTATGTTGAGTGTGTGTGTTAGTGTGTGTGTGTGCGTTATTATTATTATTATGTTATCCAGCGCCCACAATACAAAGTTGGTGGCACACGGTATTCTAGAAAGCCATTTACATATAGAAAGAAAGAAATAATATGTTTATTGCACAGACACGCATTTATAAACAAAGAAAACACGGGAACTATAATAATATTAATTTGTTATGCAAGGCTGTAAAGTAGTTTTCTGACGCGAGAGCTTGTGTTCAAAAATAAAATCCTGAGCGTTACAGGGTTCCAAAGCACGAGACGCAAAGCAACTTTGTCGCCGAGCGAAACACACAACTTTTCACCTCACTAAAGCGAGGAAAATGGCAGATGAAAGAAAAACAATTGAACGATAAAACATCAGTTTTTTAAAATTAAATGAATAAGTTTATTTTCGGATAGGTTCTGTTCTAATTTACACCTCATAAATTTTTATTCGTGCTTGTAGTTTTATTTTGTGTGAGTAAGTGATTATTGAAATTATTTTAGTTCTTCAACGCATAAAATAATTTAATAAACACAAGTTGTCAGCTGCCGAGATATTTGTGTTTGCAGACCCGCTCAAGTCCTTGTCCTGTGACGGTAACCTATCACAAACTCGAATTTTTTTCCCCGAAATAACATTTGTTAGAATTTTCATTAGACTGAAATATAACGAAACCGTTGTTCTTTCAGAATATTATGTTGAATGTTTATCGCAAAGATACGATTAGGTTCGGTTAGGTTTAAAAGAAAATACATTTTCGTCTCAAAATTACTTTCGAGGTTATGAAAAGTCGAGCAAACGTTTTACCTGCAAAACGTCAATTCGGCCTATTGTTAGGTAACCCCTGCGACTGATACACTGGACTGGAGACCACAATTTTTAGTAGTAGTAAAACGTAGTGACATTTAATAAAAACTTGAAAAACTACAATATAATTTCTTTCCAGCCGATTGTGGCAACAAAACGGCATCGTCAGACGTGAACTTACAAGCATCCACTCTGCCGCTGAGTGGCCGGCCGGCGTCCGCGTCGCAACTCGTCCGCCGCCAGCTGGAACTGGCCCCGCAGCCACACAAGCGCCGTTTGAGTCTACGTTGTGAGTAACTTCAACTTCACTATTATTATAATGGCGATACTTCCAGTGGCGAATTTGCTATCTTGGCTGCCCTAGGCCCCAGGCCATGTAGTCAGTACAAGCCGCCCTTTTCCCAGCGCTCATCATATACTGGTACTTAATGAATTTAATTTATTGCTAACTTTTATCGGAATCGGTTCAGAAATATTTTTAATATTAAAATATTTTACACATACTAATAATGTACTAAAGTGATGGAAGATTATTGTTATACGGTGCAGTGCAGTGCGGTCCGCCATAATGTGCGTGAGCCTTTAGAATATTTAGGTTAGGTATATACCTCAAAGGTATTTCTTGTCACCATCAGTGAATTTTTTGTCACGATTGGCCGCCCTAGGCCCGGACCTACTGGGCCTTAGGGCAAATCCGCCACTGGGCACTTCTTAAAAAAATATTTGACATACAGACAAACATGGCCGTCCACACATGAAACCAAATAAAAAGTTAAAATATAGTGGTAATCCGACTCTGGATAGGTAAAACGTCTAACGTGCATTTGTAAAATATTATAGGACAGCGATTTAGCGTAATTAATAAAAAAACTAATTTTATTTAAGAAATGAAACAATTTTTTCGGATTTAAATTGCTTGTATTTGTTTCTTCATAACCAACGTTTCGGGCCCTTTACAGATCCCATGGTCACGGTTGAATGTCACATGGGACCTGTAAAGGGCCCGAAAAGTTGGTTTGTTTGAAAAAACAAATACACGCGATTTAAATCCGTAAAAATAATGTTTCCTGTGTGCAACAATCGCGAAAACCTAAGAACTCGATATCAAATTTATTTTGTTATATGGAAAAGTAGAACCTCCAGCTTTCCCATATAACAAATAAAATTAGAGTTATGATTTTTTTTTTTCCAAAAACTTAACTTTACAACGCTCTCCTGTAATATTTTTCAAATGCACGTTAGACCATCATCATCATCATCATCATTAACTGCCTCCGTGGCCGGACGGTTACCATGCCGGACTGCCACGCGGAGGTCCCAGGTTCGATTCCCGGGCTGGGAGAAATATTTGTATGGCCTACATTTATTTCTCTCGTGAGTTTGGGTGTAATTTGTGGTTGTCTATGTGTGTGTCCATGGCACCCGCGACACAGGGTTTCCCGAGTGCGGGGCTATGTTGAGTGTGTGCGTTATTATTATTATTATTATGACCATCATTTTCAAATGCAAGTTACACCATCGAGTATATAACCAGAAATAGAGACGAAATAAGGGCCACATATTCCTGGTAACACATTAGCGATACAGCTCTTATAAATATCAACTCCCGTTTGCACTGAAATATAGACAAGCCAACTACTGACCTGTGTTTACGTCTCCGTATATTCCAAAAAATATTCTGTATTTATTATAATAAAGATAATATCTCTAACAATGCCGTGCTGTTCTATTCGGTGGTGTGGGAAAAACAGCGAGACATCAAATTACAAACGGAACCTCATTTCTTCGGTAATTAAATATTAAATAATGTAATTTTGCAATTTTCGTCCATTACAGCAAAGCTCAAGTTAACTGGTCTTTTTGAAGTGAAACAATTGACGACACCCGTCAATTATTTCGAACTCGGGCTGGCCAATCGGAGCGCAGTTGTAACAGTAATGATATGGTAGAATAGTTTTCAAACAAATTAAATGACATTTCGTCTCTATTTCTGGTTATATACTCGATGGCACACACGCACGTTTACGTTTTATTTTATGTATCTTTATTTCGTTTTTCTTTTCTTAAATAAGTATTTTATTTTTAATTAATATATAAAAATTTGCTTTTGCTTACCTTAACCTTATCATTGATCTGTATTTCTTGGTCATTAACTTCTCCAATGTTATGTGGAAGAATTGATATCCGAAGTGAGGAACCTGGTTACTTATATTACAAGCTACTGCTTAGTTTAGATACCAGTCTCTTGCAAACATAATTTGATATCTCTTGGGCGCATTTATTTGACACGAATTTTATCGCGCTCACCGCCGAGCGGTCGAAGAGTGGAGCCCTCGTTGCCGCCGCGCAGCGACTGCGTGCGTCTAACTGTCATGGCGAAATACGCTCTATTCGTTAAACTTTTACGTTTTAACTTAAATGAGCATTCCGGGCATGCGGGCGAGTCTGGCTTGAATTTGGCCTACGCCCGGCCCGCGCGACGACCGCGTGGTCACCGTGCGGAGTCCGTGGCGGCGACTTTTTATGAGGAATTTAAATGTTGTTGCCTAGTAAATAGAATTCAGATTCGTCATTAATGTACATGAAGGCATGGTAACTCTCTCCTCGTGTAGCTGGGCGCTTACTGATATTATCATCGTCAACCCATTTATATGTCCCACTGCTGGGCACGGGTCTCCTTTCAGACGAGGATTTTAGGCCATAGTCCGCCACGCTGGCCCAATGCGGGTTGGGGACTTCACACGTTTTCCGAGGGTTGTGAACCTTCTTCGACGTGCAGGTTTCATCACAATGTTTTCCTTCACCGAAAAGCTCATCATAAATTTCGCACACAAATTCCGAGAAACTCTAGAGGTGCGAGCCCGGATTAAACGCACGACCCTCTGCTTGAGAGGCAGTAGGTCAAACCAATAGGCTACCACGGCTTTTTTACTGTGTATGATATATCTAAATTCTAGCTAACTATTGTTTGTGGAGTAAAAATGAATTATTATTATACGTATAAGTATCACTACAAGTCACCAAGCCCTAACCCCTGTAAATGACATATACATACTTATGACATTACCAGTGGTCGGAATAGAGGGAGTTAATTTGTCTAAACTAAAGAATAATGTGGACATACCCTTCTACAAATCCTGGGACTCAGAACTGGTTATATCTAAATATGCGTATTATTTATTGAAATTTGAGCACATTGGCAAATAATTATTGCTTCCTATTAAGTATTTCGCCGCCTTACTTTCTCAAACTCGTATCTTAAAGCACAAAGTTACTGAAATGCGAAAAATGGATTGTGTATACCAATTTTGCAGGCTGATTTCACATCACATTTCCTTCATATTTTATTTTTAAAGTAATGCATCCAAATTAATATCCTTGATAAGAAATTTAAAATAAATAGAAAGTTTTGCCGTCTCCTGAACAATTACTCTTTATCAGAATCTAGGGAGTTAATTTACCTAAAGTATGTACGTTTTCTTAGTATGGACATACCCATTAAGTCACCATTTTGTGTAATTTATTTTAAATTTACTTCCTCACTTTATTTTCTAAATATTCCAAAATGTAAATTGTCTCTTGTTAAAATTTTTAAATGGCTAAAGTATTAAAATACCTAAGTACCTATAGAAACCCGACTACAATATAATTATTTGAAACAGCAAATCGATGTCTTACTTTGTCAACTCGTTCTTATAAAGAATGATTATCCAGGAGATGGCGAAACTTTCTATATATTTTAAATTTCTTATCAAGAGTGTTAATTACTTTAAGAATAGGTAAAAGCTAGTGTATAAATATGAAGGTAATGCAATGTGAAAACAGCCTGCAAAATTTGTATGTACAATTCATTTTTGCGTTTCAATAACTTTGTGCTTTAATATACTAGTTTGAGAAAATAAAGCGACCAATAAATGGTTATTGTAATCTTGAATATAAATTTTAAAATTGTGATAAATTTAAATTTTCTTTTCATTAGTCTGTTTTTTATTTTTTTCAAGCGAACCAACTATTATAAAACTGTTGTCACAGACATGCAACGCAACAAAACCAGTCCGGAGCGGCCGTCCATGTTGGTGTATGAGCCGGGCAAGCAGAGACAGCTGGACAAGGGAGACTTTGAACTACGCACCACTATCAACTAATGCAGGTAATACTAAAAAAACCGACTTCAAAAGTGCGTGGAATTACATCTATTTGCCAAGCTTTATTGAAATCGGTTACCGGAAAGTGTGAGACACCGGATTCATCCCCTAGTTTGCCACCGTTAGAAGTGGAATATTTTCTTCAAACTTAAATGGGACACACTGAGGCACCCTGCTTCTAACAAAGAAAAGAATCATCAAAATTGGTTCACAAGCCGGAGTCATCGCGTAACAAGAATTGATAACCTCCTCCTTTTTTTGTCCATCAGCACCAACGCGATGTTCACCGATTATGTGTGGTGCCCCTCCGATCCTTTCGATTTAAAGCTCTTGAGTGGCATTGCAATAATTATTGACAGGCGTGTCGCTTACCAACAGGCGCACGATTTATACGTCCCATCTCACTTGGTTTCATAAAAAAAAAGTTTGTGTTATTAAATAAATGGGTTAATTCAGATTCCGTATTGTCGCGAAAGTACGATATTAAGTTGTCAGTCTATTCTTAATTTTTCAAATTTGTATTCTTTATTTACAGATACAACGTGGAAATTGAAGAATTTAAAAATAATTGATTAATTTTAAAGGTGAAATTATTGGTGACTCTACCCATCAATAAAAAGCTATTCCTTCTCTCCCTTCTGACAAAGCAAAAAGATTATCAGCTTTTAGAACATAATACAAAAAGTAAGAGTGAGAAAAAATAAATATAAACTTAAAATTTAAAACAAAATTTTACAAATATTTCTGAGTCAGCCGTGACCATAGCCTGTAAAGAACCCGAAACGTTAGTTTGTTTTAAAAAAAAAACAAAAACTAATATAGGTACGCAATTTAGTACCGAAGAATGGTAACCTATCACAAAGTCGAAAATTTTTATGTTCGAAATAACGTTTGTTCGAATTTTCATTACACCGAATTATAACGAAACCGTTATTCTTTCAGGATATGTTGGATATTTATCGCAAAGACACGATTTACACGGTTAGGTTAGGTTAAGTTAGGATTAAAAGAAAAAACATTTTTCATCTCAAAATTACTTTCGAGGTTACGAAATTTCGACCAAACGTTATTTCTGGAAAATGTCATTTCGGACTCCTGATAGGTGACCCCGAAGAATTTATTTAATTTCCAACATATTTACAACAACATACGTACAAATACTTCATGATTTTTTTCTATCGGGGCAGGCAAATTTGCTATAACAAATGTACCAAATATAAAATACCTCAAGAGTCCATACAACCTCAAATGGCTTTGGTTGATTCCGCTTTACAGTGAAAGTCTTGAATCAATTACTTTGAAAAAAAATATATAGTAAAGGTGAGGATACACACTGTTTACTATATGGTATGAAAACGCGATTCGTAAAAATATCCACGATTGAAAAAAAAAAATACAAACTGACCTCGAAATTTACAAGTAAACAGCTGTATTCAATACCTTTACATATATCAATGATTTTTTTTTATATCAACTGAACTAAATACAACACATATACTGTATGATATACATTTTTCAAATTGCTTTAATGTCGTTTGTAAAAAAATAAATTCTGAAATAAAACCAGCGTCCTTGCCGCTCGACCCAAGCAAAATGAACCGTATTAGAACGGGAAAGATTTGAATTCGATGTGAGGTAATATCGACGAGAGATTTCAGTTAGCACCCATCACGGAAAATAAAACAATGGAAGGGCCTAAGCCTCTGTTACTATCGAACCGCTGTCGCTACATAATGTCAAACACTAAAATCTTCATAACGATTGGTAGTAGTTTCTAATTGAAAAATATGTAATAAGTTCTAAACTGTTAATATAATTTAAACCTTACCCATTAAAGTTCAATACCTATTATTGCAAGTTACGACATTTTGGTTTCATAATTGAAATATTCAATGTTGTGCCATCTAGCGGCAATTGCTAAAAGACGAACGAACGAAACGTCGGCCATTTTGCAGCGGTATAATGTTGACTTAACAAATAATCCATTACGATGAACAAAAAATTAAAAATATGTTAAAATAAGACTTAACGATGCGATGATTATGACACAATATCATGAATATTACATGCAAAATAAGGCATTTTCCCACGATTTTCGTTTTACGCGATATAATTGATACGACATTACATACAAAACGAAAATGGCGGACCAAGCTCACACACGTACCTCACGGATTGGCTTGGTACGTTGGCACACGCACCACACCCATTATGCACGTCTATTGTTTTTATTTATTGTTCTGTGGCACCCATAGTGACATGTTCATACGCAAGCCTACTTACTTAAATATTGTTACCATTTTATTTGTTATACGTATATAATGCTTTGAAATATTAGTAAATATTTGTTTTTTGTTTCAAATGTCTAAGATTTTTATTCGTTCGGAAACATTCGTGGTTTCCAACTTTTGCCGATGTTCAATATTTATTCACTACACCTGTGAAAATACGTGGTTTAGGTGTTCGTATAGATGGGTAGAATCATCTTTAATAATTTCGCAGACCTTTAGGAGGTCACTATTTATAATCCTAAATAATTTTCTAAGAAGTTGTCATCTTGTTTTATGATAAGCAAATAATATAACAATATTACTTCAATAATATACTACAGGGTATAGAAATAATTTTGCAACAACTTTTTTCTTTTTTGTATACAAAATATGTATAAACATAGACAATACATACATTAAGGCACAACGGAACATAATGAAAACACAATTTTTGATGTTTAGAAATTCCATAAACATTTTTTTAGTCTAGAAAATTGATGAAGAAAATTTACCTAAAACTTTGTTAAATTAAAAAATATATATTATTTTTGATTTTTTTGCAACAGTAAAGAATTAGCGTAATTAAAGTCTGTCTTTTTTTAAGATAGAGTGAAATGACAGTTCATTGCTCAAAAGTGTTGTCGGCTTGCAGTCGATAAATGTTGGTAACGCTTATGCAATAAATAATCGAACTTGTTTCATTTGAATCATATCGGCCCATTATTCGTTCAACTTCTGAGCACAGGTTCATTTGAATTGTCCATTTTTGTTCATACTTATACTTTGCACTTAGAACTATGTAGACATAGTTAAAAACACAAACAAGAGACATATTATACAGATTTTTTTCTTAATTAAATATAGATAATGAAATCCACATGTTCTTGTTAAAATTTATATGAATAAAAATTTATTTCGATAGTAGTAAGCCAACGTCAAAATAAGAACAAAGAAGGCAATAACGCAAATAGAACGTCTTAACAATCACAATTCAAACACTAGGTAAAATTTTAGCTTCTTTCACAATTTACCGATAAAACTGTCCTACATGACTATTTAAAATTTTATGAAAACTGTCTGGGCCTTTTGGAAGGAAAGGTGTCGTTTTTATTATGACTTTCAATTATTTTGTGAAATCTAGTTTAAAGTGGAATAGGATAGTGCTATTGTGCCTTAATCGAAGATTAAAACGCGAAATTATACGAATCTCGAAGTAAAATACCCGTATCGGCCCGTTCTAAGGAATCCCGAGTCAATCCAAGCACGCCGCCTCAAATTGCCTATCCTCTTCGTGGCGGCCATATTTACAGAAACGTAATTAAACCAAGACATGGCTCAAAGGACTTGTATCCCAGCCAAAATTATTTAAAAAAAAATACTGACAACCCGCAAATGTCATTTTACTCCGTTTTCAAAAAAGACAGACTATAAATATTTCTTTTTAAAGCGGTTACACACGGCTATCTAAGCAGCTATACAATCGCTATGCAAACGCGGTGCACATTTTTAATCAAGCAACCACCTATTAAAAGCAAGTATCGCGATGGAATCGCGCGTTTGTATCGCTAAAAGTCGCCCGCGCCGTGTGTAACCATTCTTAAAAACGAAATTTTTCAATATGGTCTAAATTGGTAACTTTTTTTAAGGGGACCAATATTCATTGTCCACTTTACTGAGATATTTTTCTCGGTAGCAGATATCTTCGGATATCATTTCTAGATAATAAAACTGCTGCCATATTAGAAATATAGAAATAATTTAGCAATAACACGCAATTAGGTTTCTATTTATAATGCAGTTACACGAGCTCCGACTGCCAAAAAGCAGTTAAAATGCAGTCCGCACAACTGCACGCCAACTATGATAGCAGTCTGCAGTTGTGGTTTTGATAGGATGTTGTTGGTGTTCTATTAATTACAACATTTCTTGGCATATTTTATAACCAGAGTAGGCAGGATATACATAGGCAGTGTATATTTACCTCAGCTTCAAACAAGTAATACACATAAAGTGAATAATACCTCCATCTGAAAGCCCCGAATTATTGTATTGTATTTTGTTTTATACTTTTGATGTTTAAGGGTGCGTTTCCATTATGTCGTAGCATTTTGTTTATCGTCAGACGACTGTCCAAATGAACGTCCACGACAGTCGCGATGATGGACGTTTATTTTATCATCGAGTGACTGTCGTGTCTATTCCCATTAGAGCGTGACGACAATTTATCGATTCACGGCAAGCCGCCTTGTCGTTTGCACGACAGAATCGTTTGAAGCTGCGATTATCTATCGTCACATTTTAATCGTGACGTTTTATTTATCGCCGGACGACTGTCGTTCTAGCTCTTCCCATTATCATGACAGTCTGTCGTCGTAACGTCAAAAAAGTCTTGAACGACAGTTAATCGTGTTTTACTTTATGTGAACAACTTCATTTAAATATACAAGTCACGACACTTTAAACTGCACGACTATCTGTCATCACGACACAATGGGAACACACCCTAAGTTTTCCTGCGGTAGTGTATTTAGAGCTAAAAATTTGTGATTGTAAATAAAAAATATAACTATTTCGTTTTGATGTTTTGTCTTTTACTTTTAATTATTCCGGGATTTCAGTGAGAGGTAAACACTCTGTCAATTCTGTTTATAACTGGTACTTCGTCTTTGAACTTGTAAAACTCACCAAACAATACTTACTTGTAAAAATTAGTTCGATTGTTAACATCGAGCATATAACCAGAAATGAAAACGAAATCCATCCCTGGCAATTCATCAGACAAATGCGCCTTATGTCACTTTTAAATATCAACTCTCGTTTGCGCTGAAATCACAAATTAGAAAACTGAAATTGTACAGCGCCAACGACTGACCTGTGTGTACGTATCCGTATTTTCCGAAAATATTCCGTATTTATTGTAATAATAATATATCTCTAACAATGGGGGGCTGTTCCGTTCGGTGGTGTGGGAAAAACAGCAAAACATCTAATTACAAAACAAACGGAATCACATTTCATCGGTATTTAAATATGTAATTTTCGTCCATTATAGCAACGCTCAAGTTAAACTGGTCGATTTGAAGTGTAACAATTGACGACACCCGTTAATTGTTTCAAATTCGGACTGGCCAATCGAAGTGCAGTTGTCACCGTAAAGAATTTTGGCAGAATAACTTCTCTATTTTTAGTTATATACTCGATGGCATATAGACAACAGTTGTCAATTGTGAAACACTCACGCCGACTGCATCTGGGACTGCTATCCGACTGCATTCAAACATATTTTGTAGTTTAAATGCTGCTCGTGCGACTGTGCACTTACACTTGCATTCAAGTAGAATTTAATTAAGTAACTTTATGATAAAGCAGACAAATTAGTTTTGAGCCGTGGCCATGTTGTCGAATTTTCAAGAACTAATTTCTCCGTCGACTCTAGTGATAAAATTTCGCTGTCCAAAACTAATTTGTATTTTTTTTACA